TGACGATATAAATCAAATAACAAGAACAATGAAGATCAAATAGTGTCGAATGCTTAGATTCAATATCCTTAGAAGAGTTCAACGTGAAATTTTCTGTAAAGGTTATGTAGGGCGATACAACTTTTTAACCCTAAAACGATACATGCATGCACTATAAATAGTCTAACCCTAGCATCATAAATACACAGATGAACAGGCCCAATCCGTTAATAAATAAGACTAATTAAGTACATAACAATTTGACACAACACATTAAATAGCCCAACACTAAGAACATCAAAACACACACTAATGGCTCAAAGATGCTCTCCAAATGGATTAGGGTTTGCAAGGGTTGATATGAGGGGTGGAGGCGAGGCTGATGAAAGAAATGGTTTTGAGGCTATAAGGGTGTTTAAATAGCGCACAAACCCTAAATATTAGGGTTTTGGTCCAGGCCATGTATGCCCAGCATACGAGAAGTATGCCCAGCATGTGTGATGAAACACGTTTTCTCTATAAAAAAATACTACAAGGGACCAATTTGCAAACAAATTTACATACCAAGGGAATAAATGAAAATACTGATGTTACATAAAACATATTTAACTTTATGTAATTATTACTTTTGTTAAATTTAAAGAGTTCAAACACTGTTATTTTTTGCAATAAAAAAAACAACAAAAAAGTTACTATTACGGAACGTTTCTCCGGAATACTACTCTGGAAATCCCGAGGTCGTTCTCGAATGACATGTTCCAGAAAAAACGATCATTTTCCAAAAAATTATAAAATTTGGTAATTTTTTTTTTCAAAAACATCATTTATATAGGTTAGATTACTTAATTATTGTTTGAAAAAATCAATTAAATGTAAATTATTATTGTATCCTATGTTTCATGTATTACTGTTTTTTTTTCCTCTGCAAATATACTTAAACATATGATAACTTATCTAAAATTAATTTATATCATTTTCTATGGCTTCACATTTTATAATTTTTAAACATTATTTATTTTGATTGTAAAGGGGCAACACAATTTGTTTCCACCTAATATACAATATGAAAAAAAAATCGCAATTTAACAAACTAAAAATTGTGAATTGAACCCTCAATCAAAATATATCAACTATAAATTTGATTTCAAATTTCAACAACATATAATCACAAACTATTAACCCTAAGTCTGTTATTTAACAAACCTAATTGGTAATTTCTAATTTTTCAACACAATGCCAAAAAATGAAATTTGAAATAACCTAATTATAAATAATAGGATCGAGTTTTTTTTACTTACTTATTTTGTTGTAAAGTTGACCACCGGAGGAACGAAGTCACGAACAACGACAACAACACAATTTGGTTCTTCCGAATTTTATGCAAAACAAGAAAATTGGGCTTCTACCCTTTCTTTGTTTCATTAAACTATTTTGTCATTGGGATTAAAAAGTTTGGACCACTTACATGTATCGGGCATTTTGACCATTTTAAAATTTTGGACTATTTTGTAGTTGAATTTATAATTTAGAAATAACTTAATTTTTTTTATGGTAGCCCAATTTTTTTTCCGGTATATTACCGCAACATTAAAGAAAAATTTTCGAAAAAAATTATATTGTTGGACAAAATTTGAGGGACATCCCGAGCTACCCAGACTCCTACGTGGATCCAAAAATGCTTTTGAAATGTATTTCATTTCGTTTCGGTAGTATATTTAGATTCTTATGGTTTTTACTGTTAGAAAGTGGTTTTCTTTCATCGATATGCACAAATTTATAATTTCTTTTTGACAAAACTTCAAAAATGGTCCCTGTAGTTTTCAAAAATATCAAGTTTAGTCCCTAATTTCAAAAAACCTCACAGATGGTCCTTGTGGTTTCAAAACTTTTAACAAATAGTCATTTGAGCTAACTCCGTTAGATTTTGGCTGTTAACTATTATTTGATTATAATATTCGAAGGGCATTTTCGTCATTTTACTACCATAGGGACCATTTATGATATATTTTTTTTTTAAAAAGAAATATATTAAACCTAACCCCCCGACCCATTGTCTTCCCCACCGGACCTATCTATGCCCCTGTCCTTCGTCTTCATCCTGTGTGACAAGAAATCGAGGGTTTGGTATTTCGATTAACGTCCTATGAACCATCCCATTAACATCCTTGACCACATAATCAGTCTTGAAGATATCAATTTTGCAAGCAACGAACTCGAGTGCAGCTTCGAAAAAAAGAAGGGCTCCGATGAAATCGTGTATGCGTATGTGAATTCAGAACTAAAATCAATTCCCTAGTGGGTGAAAGTCCTCTACACTTGTGTATGTGTGTGTTGGCTCTTGTTCCTCCTGCAACTACAATGCACCATCTCCTTCGTTCCAATCAGGTTTAATCTGTTCAAGATTTGATTTGCAGGTGTGTTAATTTGATATGCTCATGTTTTGATTGCATTTTTCTGGTGGAAGCACTATGTTAGAAACAATTTTTTGATTTCAGTGTGTTAATATGATTTCTGATCAAGCTCGATTATGATGTTAACAAAGAGTGCGGTTCAATTGATAATTGGCATCAGAATGTAATCATAGGTTTTAGGCGCTTAAGCTTGAACATGAATCGAAATGGAATCAGAGGTTTAGCCATTTCGAAACCAATGGCGACGGAAAGATTTCTACTGAGGAGCTCGTCTACTCTATGAAGGCACTGGGATCCGACATCTCTGTTGCAGCAAGTGATGGCTAAACTCGATGCAGACTGTGACGACTTCATTAACCTCGAGAAGTTCATCAGATTCTACAAAGTAAACGCCCGAGACCAAGAGGAATGAATCAATGAGCTCCACGAAGCGTTTGAGATTTACGATTTGAACAAGAATGGGTTGATCTCGTCAACTGGCTTGCATCAGATCTTAACTCAGTTGGGGGAGGGATGTACGGTTGATGATTGTGTGATAATGATCAAGTCGGTGGATTCTGATGGTGATGGATATATCAATTTCGAGGAGTTCAAAGAGATGATGGTCATCTTTCCTGATTCTTCCTTTAAATAAGTGTTTGATTTCTGATAAATAGTATGGCATTAGTAAGATGAATATAAAGAATGAAATATGAATTAGGGCAATTCATTGATCCAGTTCATACAAAATTAAAATGTGGAATTGCTCTTGTAATTGAATGCATTCGTAGCTTTGTTAATTTCAATTAATGGAATCTTGCTTTTGGGTTGGCTACACGAAGAACAAACAATTTGGTATTCATGTTCTTGGTGTGGGAGAGAGAGAGAGAGAGAGAGAGAGAGAGAGAGAGAGAGAGAGAGAGAGAGATAATATATTTTTTTCTTTTTTTTTAAATAAAACAAAACATCATAAATGGTCCATGGTAGTAAAATGACGGAAATGCCCCTGCAATATAATATTAAAAAATGAGTTAACGGTGAAATGCTAACGGAGTGAGCCGGAAGGACCATTTGTTAAAAGTTTTGAAACCACAGGGACCATCTGTGAGGTTTTTTGAAATTAGGGACTAAACTTAATATTTTTGAAAACTATAGGGACCATTTTTGAAGTTTTGTCTTTCTTTTTCTAGCTTTTTTTGCTAGTAATCAAATTCGGCCTATCAAAAAAGAAAATTTTTCATTAGTGTCGAAGATGACGTCAGTAACCAACGAGTCAAGTTTGTAACGCCTAAAATCCAAAAGAAGGTATTATTCCATTCCTAAACATCAATATACTAATACTCCACAAACACGAATCTATAAAAGAATGAATCTTTTTTTTTTTTGGATAAACGATCACTAACTTTATAGCTTTATAGTTTTTTATTAGGGCATATTATATTATATTACTGTATATTAATCTTGGACATGGTCTAGGAATATATTATATTAATATATATTTGTTCATAGATTGAATAATCATATATGATTATAATGGTTGGTGACAGAGGTGACAGTGGTATAGGTGACGGATGTGATAGTGGTGAGGTTGGTTGGTGGTAGTAGTGGTGGTTGTGGTGGTATGGAAGGTGGATGGTAAAAAAGAAACGGACGACATTGAATAATCATTTATGATTATACCTCTCTCGCCGCGCCGATCTTTAGAACGGCAAATGAGAAATACATGGCCAATGTTGAATCTCAAAATCTCTCTTTTTTTCGGAATCTAAATGGAATTTGCTTTTATATATATATATATATATATATATATATATATATATATATATATATATATATATATATATATATATATATATATATATATATATATATATATATATATATAGGAATGATCATTTGAGAACTCAAAGTTTCCCGAGAACCCGAGAACTAAAGGTGGAACGTTGGATCAAAAAAAGGAAGGGTCGAGATGCAAGGTGACGTTTTTGTAAATAAGTAGACAAAAAAGAAGGAGGGGTATCTTAATTAATTCAGTCAGGGGTATTATAGGAATAAAAGTATAATTAAATGATTTATTAAATCTAATATCTGATAAAATAAATTTTCATCTCTCTCTCTATCCTACCCGTTTTCCTCTCTCGCTCAAACCTACAATCCATCATCCGACGACTCACCACCGTCGAATAGCCTCCAACCTCCTCTATCATCTGTCGTCGATCGCCTCCCTCCTCCCTTCACCGGCCACATCTACCTCTGTCGACCGCCACACTCCTTGATCTCACGTTCTTCATAGAAAAAACTCCACTGAAGATGCTTTGATTTTGAATCGGTTTGTCCGCCATTATTGCACATCCGTTCTCCCTTGTTTCTCTATCATCATCGGACTACTCCATTACGATCGAGATCTCTCTTCTTCCCCTGTCGTTGCGCCAACTACTGATTAGATAACAGAAGGAGAAAAGGATAAGTGTTCTTCATTTATTCTCATATTTGTAACTACCGTTGCTTGTTTTCTATTTTCTTTCTCTAATCTTGAATATTGTATTAGTTTCCTTCACCTTGATGGATTTTCAACCGTTCAGAGTTGGAAAATATCTTTGTTTGTTTTTAGCACACAACGTGTTTGTTGAAATGCTTCAAAGAATGTTTTCACCATTTACCTTTGTTAATTGTGCTTCTGTATTGGTAATTTCATCCCATTGACTATGGTTCTTGTGACCTGCCACCTGAGGATATTTCCAAACCAAATGATTGGCAAGATTTTGTTGACCAGCTATCACTAAAGATGATGCTACAATGCCAAATTAGGGAAATATTTGTTAACTATTAGAAGTTAACTTGGAAATCCACATTTACTTTCTCTTTTAAGTCATGCTTTATGTCATAAGTAAATAAGAAGTGGTTTGTAAGATAATTTTGATTTGTTCTTATCTTAATTGTAGTTACAAGCCTATTTTTGGATTTGGTGGGGCTCTTTTAGAGTTTTTCACATTGGTAGCAACACTCATCTTATATTGAAAAAAAAAACCAATAGATTTCTTACTTGTATTCATCTTGATTTCTAGGTGTGTATCAAAATGGACACATAACAGGAGTCTGAATGGAATGCAGCACATAGTATCTTTATCAGTGAAGATCTTTTGACTGTGCTAAGCTTTAGCTGTAATTTCTTGCAGTTGTAGACAGAAACTGTTGGCTTTATCAAGGCCAGACATAAGACATTGCAATGGGCAATCTATAGGTAACTCAACTGATTATTACTTTTTTAGTAACAAAAACTTATAATTTAATGAAAAAAACTAATTTCAGGTACAATGCATGTTGGCTTCCATTGCTTGCTAAACATTCAGAGTCTAAAATCACTGAAGGACCTTTAGTTGTTCCTCTTGATTGTGAATGGATTTGGCATTGTCACGGACTTAATCTGGTATATGATTATGAAACAAATACTCATTTTTCCAATGATAATTTCTGTAAAAAAAACTTTATGTTCTTGATATATTTTTTTACAGGTTAGATACAAATCAGATTATGAAAAATTCTATGGAAGTATTCTTGACAACTCTAATATTGTCTCTTCTATTAATCAAAGAACATCAAGAAAGGAAACAGAAGAAACATAGAACAAATTATACCCTAATGAACCCTATGAGTATGACATGTCACGTGCTTCCTCAAGTGAATTTTCAGAAACTTTATATAATGAAGGAACTCAAAGCTTTTCCAAATATGATTTTGTTTTAGCTGTCGAAAGAAAAAGCCAATTCTTTTACCAGGTAAACCTTAAAACCAGCTAAAGATTACTATAAAAAGTTAAAAATAACTTTTTTTTGCAGAATTGTTTGAAACCCTACTCTTTGTGACATGTGTCAATGCCTCATTTCAAGAAAGATCTATTCCTTCAAGATACACTTATAATCTCATGATTTGGGGGGTTTTCCTTTCTTTAAGAGTAGAAACTACAAACAGATTCATTGAATGTATGTGTGATGTCTCACAAATATCATTCAGATTTTTCCATTCAGGTTCCTATCAAGCTATAGTCGTGAGAGCTTTCTACAATTGCAGATTTCTTGGATTTCAGGTAATTCTCACATAATATAAAAAATTTTATATAGAAATATGATGATGAATAAAGAGATTTACATGTGAATCACTTGTGATTCACATGTGAATCACTTGTGACACATGTGAATCATTTGTGATTTACATGTGAATCACATGTAAATCATGTGAATTAATTATTTTTTCTAACCATATAGTTTATTTGAATTGCTTTTATATTAAGCTTCATAAATCACTTGTGATTTACATGTGAATCACTTGTGATTCACATGTGAATCACTTGTGATTTATATGTGAATCACATGTAATTCACATGTAAATCATATTAATTATTTATTTTTTTCTAACCATATAGTTTATTTTAATTTGTTTCATTTTAGCAATATATCACAAGTGAAACACATATGAATTACATGTGATTCACATGTAAATCACAAGTGAATCATATGTAATTCACAAGTAAATCACAAGTGATTCACATATGAATTACATGTGATTCACATGTAAATCACATGTAATTCACATGTAAATCACAAGTGAATCACATATGAGTTACATGTGATACATATGTAATTCACATATAAATCACATGTAATTCACAAGTGATTCACATATGAATTACATGTGATTCACATGTAATTCACAGTAAATCACAAGTGAATCACATATGAATTACATGTGATTCACATGTAATTCGCATGCTAACCACATGTAACTCACAAGTAAATTTCATATTAATTACATGTAATTCGCATATAAATCATTAGTGAACCATATATAAATTACGTCTATATGCATACATGTATTTTTGTGAGTTTTCTTACATTAATCATTTTTTTTCTTATAGATTTGGAAGAATTTGTGGAAAACATTGAAGAGATGAAAAATGATAAATTAAAGAAAATATGGAACACGAAGACATAAAAACGCTTTGAAATTTTGTTGTATTTTTTGGTTTTTTATATTTTATTTTGTATCGAATAAAATACCCGTATTATTATGTTTATATATTATTAAATATAAATGAATTTTTTTATATGTTTACTTACGAATATTATAGTATAAGAAAGATATATATGTACTTGAAAAATATACATATATGCATCGAAAACGTTGATTTTTTTTGTTAAAAAAATTAGAGTTTTTTTTTTTCTAATATTCCAGTTTGTTCTTATAATTTATTGATTTTTAAAAATTTACTTTTTAAAAAAAAATTGCAACTTTTTTGAAAAAAGTATAGTTTTTTTTTTTTAAAATACAATTTTTTTAAAGAAAATTACAGTTTTTTTTGAAAAAATTGCAGTTTTGTTTTTGAAAAAAATGCAGTTTTTTTTTGAATTGCAGCTTTTTTAAAAAAATATTTTTTTTTTCAATTAAAAAATAAAAAGATCTCCATTTTTTTAAAAAATCGAAAATTATTATTTTTTTTTTAAAATCCGAAATTTGATTTATTATGTTAATTTTTAGAACTTTTTATTAATATTTCCAATAAGAAAAAGAAATTAAACATTAAATTAGATCGGTAAGATGACGATCATGCCCTTAATGAATTAAATTTTGATCTAACGCTCCACCTTTAGTTCTCAGGTTCTCGGGAAACTATGAGTTCTCAACGGATCTCAACCCCATATATATATATATATATATATATATATATATATATATATATATCTATATATATATATATATCTATATATATATATACTATATATATATATATATATAACCCCCATATATATATATATATATATATATCTATATCTATATATCTAGTCTAATAAGATATAAATATAACTTATAATAATCATACTTTATGATATATTTCATAGCTTGTTATTTCTCCACTAAATATTATTTCCATAAATAATAAATTTCCAATTAGTGATAAAAATATTATTTCCCAAAATAATGTCTTTCCAATTAAATACAAATGTTGATATTTATTAATAATCAAATTCTTCTAATAACCAATCAATTTATGGTAACTTACTATAAAATGTGACCATATATGATCATATGTTATTAGCAATATCATTCTATAATGACTCTTTGTCATACAAGATTTTTCAGAATATACGTGTAAGAACATGTATCAGAGCATGTGCATATATTAAGAGAATGTATGAGGTATATGATAGATGCATGTAGTAGAGCATGTATGTATACTTATAGTATGTAGGATTGGATGAGAAGGGTATTTACTAAATACCTAAGAGATAGAATAAAGAGTGAGAAGATTATTATATGCAGTATACTCATAAGAGTTTGTATGTATGTCTAGACATTAATGGTATTATGTAGAATACCCATATGTAACTAGACATAGATAAAGATTAAGTACTTAATGAGTTAATTACTAGAAAAGAAGGATTGGATGATCTATTGGTGAGATCAAGAGATAGATTGTCCATGGGACAGCTGTTATGTGATGAGTGACATATCAAAGATTGAGATGTAGAGATAGAGAGGTTCCTTCAGGAACAAGAGTATGGTTCCTTTGGGGGCAAGAGATAGAGATTCCTTTAGGAATAAGAGTATGGTTCCTTTTAGAACAAGAGTATGGTTCCTCCAGGGACAAGAGATAAAGATTCCTTTGGGATTAAGAGTATGGTTCCTACAAGGACAAGAGTATGAATATATCCATACGGGGAAAGAGATGACGATTCCATTTAGGAATGTAGATAGATGGTTCCTGCAGGAATCCATATTGTGTATGGTTAGAGGAGATAGAGAAAAAGTTTCCTTGAGAGGAATAAGATAATATAGTTCTTTGTAAGAACTTAGAGATAACCCGTGAGGGGTTAAGAGTAAGGAATCCGCAAGGGATTCAAGAGAAGAAAGATTAAGGATTGTAACGCCCCGATTCTCAGGTATTGATTTAATGTGTGAGTTTCTTGATTTCAAGGGCTACTTGACGAGTTGATTACCCTACTCGTCGAGTAGCAGCGGGCTGGTCCACGCATTTTAATGACCTACTCGCCGAGTCCTAGAAGGGACTCGACGAGTAGGAGCTGGCAGATGAAACCCTAAATCTCGGGGTTTTGCACCCTATTTAAAGGATCATTGGCCTCCCCCAGCCTCCCCTTTTACTGTTTCTTGTCCCTCTCAAACCCTAATCGAGTGTGTGTGTTCCATTTGTGTATTTTGAGCTTGGAAGAGGATTTGGTGGAGAAGGGAGATTTGAGAGCAAGTATTCAGAAGCAAGGAGCTTGTGGGGTCTGAAATCTACCTTATTGGGCATCTTCTGGAAGGTATAATCGTTACCCTGACCTCATTTCATTCTAGATCCCCTCTTTGGACAAATTCTAGGGTTTTCATGGTATGATTGGAAGCTATTCTTGTGTGCAAGCTAAGATCTGAAGTTGTAACTTCAGAACTGAGCTCCCTTGGGCTTCTTAGTCCATAAAGTTTCCAGCTTGTGCTAGAATGAGACTCTCCCAAGGTGCAAATCTCCATTGGAAGCTTAGATTAGTCATTTAGGTCCTTTAGAGCCTTGCATGTGCATAAAGTTTGCAACTTTACGTGATAAACATGCCTTAGAAGCTTGGATCTGTAATCTGGAACCTTGCCATGGCTTAAAAAGCGTCTGCATGGATGAAGGTCTGCAAGGACTCGGCGAGTTGGAGGAACAACTCGGCGAGCCCATTGAAGATGGCCATGAACTCGACGAGTTGGATGAACAACTCGACGAGTCCGTTGAAGATTGCCTTGAACTCGGCGAGTCGTTCGAAGACTTGGCGAGTCGGCTAGGGTTTCTCCCAATTCTTGGACACATATGAACTCAGTGAGTTAAAGGGGAAATCGACGAACTAATCAAGGATTTCACGACTTCTCGAGTTCATGAAGGATTCGACGAGTCGGTGAACTGCACTCGACGAGTCGAGTCAACATTGATTGTTGACTTTGACTGTGGACTTTGACTTGGACCAAGGGTTGACCAGTTGACTTCTGAGGGTATTCTGGTAATTTGGAGATTTATGAAAAAGGGGTTTTATGGTAACTATAGGTGGTGGAGTTCGTGTTGGTGATCCGGGAGTTGAGCTTTCTAGTTCCAGACGACAGTTGCAAGGTGAGTTATCCTCACAATACTAAGGGGTCTAAGGCACCAAGGCCGGCCCATTGGATATGTTATCCTAGTAGTGTTAGATGTTGAGTATGAGTTAGTGTTGCATGATAGTGGTTATGCCAGTTAGGTAGACCTGTAGGACTACCTGTGATGTTATATGATTATTGCATGCTCAGTGGTTATGTTATGTGTTTGTTATATGGGATGGGTTGAGGTTGTACTGCTTCGTGCGGTAGCCAACAAACCCTAGGAGCATTCCAGTTACGGGCTAAGGGAGACTCGTACTATGGGCTCGGGAGCATTCCAGTTACGGGATAAGGGAGACTCGTACTGTGGGATCGTGGGTATTACAGTCTGTAGGGCTGTGGACCCGTTATGTGTTGTTCTGTTCAATTTGTTATGATATGTTATTGCTGACATGGTTATGTGGACTGTATGTGTATCGGTATTTTGGGGGTAACTCACTAAGATTTCGGGCTTACAGTTTCAGTT